GATGATTCAACCAGGATTCTAGACATTTGCAGCTTTCCAATATTACACATTTTTATTGTAAATGTTTTTAAAACTTTCTGTAAAATATCTATAATAAAAACTATTTATATTACATAATGAATATGAAATCGATAAAGCTATACCTTAAAAATAATCTTCTATATTTTAAATTTTTATTCAAACTTATATAATAATATTATTAGGGCCGTGTCAACATTATCTGGAATTAATTAGTTCACAGTTGGGGAGCTAAAAAGGCTACTCAAACTATTCAAAGAATTGAGAGAAAATCTTTCAAATAATCTTAATGGGTTTTGTGATGCTTTGTATGCTCTTGATGTGGTATCTCAGTCAACATTTAGAAAGAAGTTAGCAAATGGTTTTGATACTGATATAAAAAATTTTGAACATTATTTTTGTACTTTAAAACTATCAACTAAGTCAACAAAACTTCATATCTTGTTCAGCCATATAACATCATATTGCGCAGAGAATGGTGAGGCTCTTGGACTGACCAGTGAGCAAGTAGGAGAGTCTCTTCATTCAAAATTTTCAGAAATGTCAAGGTACAGATTACCCAAAGACTATCATCACGACTTATACAAGAAAAAACTTATAAGTGTTATTTTGACATATAATACTGAAAGGATTTAACTGTACAATGATATATTATGAAACTGTTTAGATTGTTTTTAAGAATAGTTATTAATATTGTTTATTTATTATTAAAATACTGTTGTTTTTTTGTAAAATGTAATATTTCATCATGACGGAATGTTACAATTTTTTAATATATAATTTTGGAGTCGCCAGATATAAAGCTAACAATATATGTAAACAGTTTTTCTGTACAATTTTTTTCAACCTAAAGTTCAGTGACATTGTGTCCTGTTTTGGGCTTTTGGTAGAGTAAAAAATAGAAATGGTTTCTAAAATACTAACTCTAGATAGATATCAAATGCATCCGGATACTGTCTTAAAGAAGACCTACTTGGAAAAAATTTTAGGAAAAAAAAAAAGAAAATTTCTATTGAACAGCCTCGCACCTCTTCTTCGTCAAATAGGCTGGTGTAGATGTACACCTGGGTTAAATTGTTTCCTGCCTGTGATAATGAATGTTAGAACTTCTTGGGTCTACTAATGCATTTTTCTTTTTGCCTCTTGGCAGTGGCTATACCTTTTTTTTGTTATCTCCTAAAAAAGACACAGCTTTGAAAACTCAGTTTAATGGCTTTGAAGCTGGATGATATCAAAGCTTCTCGAACTCTGTAGTAGGTCTTAGAGAGCCTGATTCCATCAATAGATGTAAAACATCATAAAGAGTGCTTTGTTGTGCATGAAAGGTACTTCTGTTAGTGTTTTTGGTGCAGATTGTTGAGGTCACATATAAATCTCTTTGTTAAAACCTTGGGTTGATTAACAAGAATGAGGCAACTAAATACCTTATTGCTATATGGGTGTACTATCTAAAACCCATGGAATTAGAAAAATAGAGGTCGGCAATAGTTTTTCCGACTTTAATCTGTTAGAGGTCACCATTGGGTCAGCATAAAAAATTTGTTACAAAGGCAAAAAATTGCCGACATTAAAAACTTCTAGGTCGGCAGTTAGGTCGGCATTGCCATATGCCAACCCTAATTCTGAGGGCTGTATCTATGATTGAGTTGAGTACTCTATTAATTTAGAACATAAATATATTACTTGAAAATATTAAGCAAAAAAAAAAAACATGCAAAATTTACCAGACCTACTTGATCTTTATGAGACTAATTTAAACTCAGGTTTTATCTTTGCAACAGAATGTTAATAGCTAGTAGCCCTCGATTCACTGACTCCAATAGTCATATGCTTTTTGTTCTTTATCGATTTCCTTCTTCTTAATACTGCACGCTTTTTAATGTTAATTTGGCTCTTGTACCACAAACTCACACAGCTTCCTTTGTAACTACTAGGTAGATTTCTTTGTAACTGTCAGATAGCTTTCTTTGCAACCATCAGATAGATTTCTTTGTAACTCATTTTCTAAATAATTTTTAATCATTTAACTCCTTGACTTGTGTCTTGGGTCCTAGCTTGTGCTCATTTTTCCTTATTATCACAGGTGGTGTCAATCAAGTTATAATTTCACTAAAACTTTCATATCATATTTCTTCTGTGTCAAATTCACCTTATCATTACACTATAAGCTATAAACCTTAAATCAGGATTCTTTTCATGCTTCACTCTATTATTTTTCCCAACAATAAAAACTATTTGCAAAAAACTTTTTTTTTTAACATCATTGCTTCCAACAAGGCTGCAAGCAACCACTAATTAGTGTTGGAAGTTACTGGAAGAGAAAAGATGAAGATTGTAGAGCAAGATAACAATTGACAGACAATTTAGAAGATAGCAAATTATATGAATCAGGAAAGCAAGATGAAGGAAGCGAATTCCAAAGAACTGATGTTCGAGGAAAAAAACTAGACGAATAAGAGTTTTTGGAGCATTTAGGAACAGTAACAGAAAAAGGATGAGACTTAATTGAATGACAAGTAACACGAGAATGAATTATAGTAGATGGCACAAGAGACGCTAGTTCTTTAGAGCAGTGCCCATTATAGTATTTGTAGAAAAGAGAAAGAGAAGCAACATTACGGCGATGTGACGAAGGTTGAAGGTTGGCTGCAAGAGCAGGTCCAACTATGTTTACAATGCGTTTTTGCACCTTGTCTAAAAGAGAAAGGGCATCATTAGAAGATCCGCCCTAGATATGGCAACAGTATTCCATACAAGGCCGGATTTGAGATTTATAGAGATAGAGAATAGAATCCAGAGTAAGAAAGTGTCGAGCTCGATTAAGAGAACCGACATTAGCAGATGCTAATTTTGCAACGGATTTGATATAAGGTTTCCAAAAAAGATCAGAAGAGTTAATCCTAGAATGTGAAGGGTAGAAAACTCATCGAGTACATTACCGTTCATAAATAAAGAAAGGTCTAAATTATTGCGATAAAGATTGGCTGAAAAAAATTGAGTTTTATCTAAATTAATGTTCACCAGCCACTATGAGCCCCATGCTGTAGCAGAAGTGAGATCCTTTTCAAGCTCAAATGCCCCCTGCAAGCAATTAGAGGGAGTTGGCTTCTTATCATGACAAGAAGAAATAGTAGTATCATCAGGAAACAATGCCACCTTAGATGTGAGAATATCTGGAAGATCGTTAATGTAAATTAAAAAGAGTATAGGGCCAAAGATTGAACCTTGAGGCACCTAAGGGTGAGTATGGAGAAACTGAGCACTGACTAGGATCAGACACAAGACATAAGTCGAGTAGAGAAGGTAAATGATTCAGGTTGTCTGGAAAGCAATTTGGAAAGTTGACTATTTAAGTTAGGGATTGAAAAAGGCAAAAGTTGTGGGCCTTAATGCCTGCAGGGTCACTGACACTAGAGCCAAGCCATTCAGTGTGATGAACATTAGAGTCACCAACAACAACAATATTGGCTGATGGATAAAGAATGAGGGCTTGGTCAATATAATCAGAAATAACATCAAGAAGAGTTCAGTCTTGAGATGAAGGAGAGCAATATAGAACAAAGAGAAAGGTGATAGAGTGAAGTGGTGCTAAACAAAAGCACATAAAAGAGTAGTCTGTGGATTCAAACCTAGTTTCCCGACAAATGGGTGAATTCTTACGAATGTAAATGCCTAGGCCAAGCATGCGACTATTGGAGTCTTTACGAATTAAAGGAAGATAACCATCAACACTAAGATCACAAGATGAGACAGCTGAACTCAAAGTAGTCTCACAAAGAGCAAGTAGGTCTGGTGAACTTTGCAAGACTCAACAGAAGAAAAGTTACTTCGAAGACCACAAATATTGGTGAATGATAGGTTTAGCGAACTTGGTGATGGCTGTGGTTTTTTGTGTTTTATAGTTTTTGTTACTTTATTCATTTTTAAATTTGTTAAAGAACTTGACTCAAAACATAGATAGTACTCAGTACACTATTTTATGGCCCAAGCAATTGCCTCATTTCTATTAATAAACCTCAAGCCGTAAAAAGGGCCACAATGTGGCCTTGGCAATGCACATCAAAAGTACAAACAGGGACACCGTCCATGTGCAACATGGCACTTTTAGTACTTTGATATTTTTCAGCTGTTGATGGAATCAGCCTCTCTGAGAGCTGCCACAGAGTTCCAGAAACCTGACTACCAGCCGGCCTCAAAACCATAAACGTTTTAGAGCTGTACCCTCATTTGGAGATAATAGAAAGAGTTGCCTAGTCATAAAAACAGAAACACGTGCAAAACCCATGCATCGAGTCAAGAAGATCCAGCAATTAACATCCTAAACTGGAAACAATTTATTAAAAATACATCTGCGCCAGCCTAGTAAATGAAGAATGGGTGTGAGGCTGGTCAACAGATAGAATCTATTTACCCCTTAAGTCTTTGCCTAGGAGGCCTTCTACAAGACAGCAGCCGGATGCATTTAACATCTGCCCAAGATGAGTATTTTTATTGAGACACCATCTCTAGCCTTTACTCAAACAAGAGCCCCAAGGCAGGGGGTGTTTTATGTCAGAGTTTGCATCTCCTAGCCTTTGCCTAAAAAGGCGTATCCTACAAGGCAGCAGGACATGAAGCAGATTGTACTGGGTTACATGTTAAAATTTATTCATTACATTTTTAGCATTGCTACTTTTTTTAAAGTTTTATTTTTATGTACGACCTCTCTAAATTCACTACAGTCAAGGAGACAAGTTTATTGTGGTTACAATCCTCTCTTAACTCCAAAACACAAACCTTGACAAACAAGGTCGTTGCACAGAGAAACAAGTTAAAACAAGTATGAACTTAATTTTCATGCTAAAATCTACTTTTTAGTAGATTTTAGCATGAAATTTAAAATCTGAAAGTTTTTTATGTGTGTAATTAATTTCTGTAATCCTTTTGGTTTACTCTATAATAAATAAAATATAAACTTAAATTTTATGCTTAATTTCTTTACATCATTTAAATATTGCTTCTCTTGTTAAAAATTTTGACGAATTAAACTCACTTTTATCTCTTATTAATCATAAATTCAGTATTATTGGCATAACTGAAACTAAACTAAAACATGACATTTTACCAACTATCCCATTAAATCTTACCGGTTATGTTTATGAGCACACTCCAACAAAATCTTATTTTGGAGGAGCTTTACTTTATATATCGAATACATTAATTTATAAACTTCGATATGATCTTAATATGCTTAAACCAAAACTTTTAGAATCTGTGTTTGTGGAAATCATAATTCCTAAAAAATCAAACATCATTATTGGCTGTATTTATCGCCATCCTAGTATGGATATTTCAGAATTTATTAAATCATATTTAATTCCACTTTTTGAAAAGCTATCTATGGAAAAAAACAAAACTACTTTTTTAATAGGCGATTTTAATGTCGATCTTTTATTAGCAAACTCAGATAATTCTGTCTCTGAATTTTTAGACACTATTGCTTTAAATAACTTTCTTCCCTTTATTTCATTGCCAAGAAGAATCACAAATCACTCCAAAACTCTAATTGATAACATATTTTCTAATGCAACTTCTACAAATATTTTTGCCGGTAATTTTACTTCTACGGTATCAGGTCATTTGCCCCAATTTTTAATACATCCTCTTTATAGAACCAAAATTAATTCTCGTAAAAGCTGCATTTTTCGTCGAAATCTAAAACAAATAAATTGCGTCGAGTTATGTAGTGATTTCTCAAAAATTAGCTGGATTAATGTAATTAATGTCAACGAAGGTAAGACTAATAAGTCATTTGAAGAGTTTTTCTCAAGTTTCAATTCTCTTTTAGATAAACATGCACCATTGAAAAAAGTCAGCAATCGTTGCTTATCAAGGGGTCTCAAACCTTGGATAACACGAGGAATCTTGACTTCTATTAAAATGCGAAATAAAATAATTAAAAAATTTCTTAAAGCAAAGAATCCTAATAACAAACTCAATCTAGAAAAATCTTATAAAGCATATAGAAACTTACTTGTTACTCTCACCCGTCGTAGTAAAAAGAACCATTACTCTAAGTTCTTCTCTGACAATGCCAAAAATTTGAAATCTACATGGAATGGTATTAAGAACCTTTTAAACATTAGTTCGAGAGTTAACTCATCTCCTTCATGCTTATCTTCTACCAACTCCATGATACACGACCCCATTAAAATTTCGGAATCTTTTAATTCATTTTTTGTTTCAGTTCCGGAAGATTTACAGAATAAGATCCACTCATCCAATACTGACTTTAATAAATATCTTAAAAATCCTAATCTTAATTCAATGTTCATAAAACCTACAGACAAAAACGAAGTATTATCGATTATTCATTCTCTTAATGACAGCAAGGCTTCTGGACCTAACAGCATTCCAATACCTATTTTTAAAGCTCTTGCAAATGATATCTCTCCTGTACTTTCTGAACTATTTAATCTGTCATTCACAACCGGTGTATTCCCTGATATTTTAAAAACTGCTTCTGTTATCCCAATTCATAAAAAAGACTCAAAACTTGAACGTAATAACTACAGACCAATTTCATTATTATCAAATGTCAGCAAACTTTTAGAAAAACTTATGTATTCTCGTATTTACAACCTTTTAAATAATTCTGCTTGTTTTCATATTCGACAATTTGGGTTTCGCTCAAATCACTCCACTTCTCACGCTCTTATTAGCATTACTGAAATGATTCGTGGTGCAATTGACAGTGGTTCTTTTGCTTGTGGTGTATTCATAGATCTTCAAAAAGCTTTTGATACGGTTGATCACAACATTCTAATAAAAAAGTTAAACTACTACGGAATACGTGGTATTGCTAATCATTGGTTTTCTTTATATATTACGGATCGCACTCAGTTTGTTTCAATTAATGGATTTGAATCCACACATAAAGTTATTAAATATGGCGTTCCACAAGGTTCCGTTCTTGGACCGTTGTTGTTCTTATTATATATAAATGATTTATCTTGTTCGTTAAAAAATTCTATGATACATCATTATGCTGACGATACCAATCTTTTATATATCAACAAATCCCTCACGACTATTTGTAAAAAAGTTAATCAAGATCTTCATCGCTTATGTAACTGGTTAAATAGTAACCGTATTTCCTTGAATGTCAATAAAACTGAATACATTATTTTTCATTCCCCTCAAAAAACTATTGATCATATTAAAATTAAAATTAACGGTAAAAAACTTTTTCCATCAAAATATATAAAGTATCTTGGAATATATCTTGATGAAAACCTATCTTGGTATAATCAACTGTATCATCTAAAAAAAAAACTTACACGAGCTAACAGTATGCTTTCTCTAATTCGTTACTATGTTCCTATCCAAACTCTTCGAATGATTTATTTTTCTTTATTCTCTTCTCACCTTTGCTATTGTTGTATTGTTTGGGGTCAAAAAAGAAACTTTTTACTTAACAACATTGCTAGTTTACAACGCGCATCTATTAGAATAATGACGTTTTCCCCAATGAGATCTGATATCAAAAAAAAATTTTCTGAACTAAAAATCTTAAAACTCCATAATCTTGTAAAGTTTTACAATTGTCTTTTTGTGTTTGACTTTCTCCAAAATAAACTACCAAGCCCTTTTTCAAATTTTTTTATTAAAACAAACGAAGTTCATAATTATCACACCAGGAATACAGAAAATAGTAAGCTATACTATTCTTTTTTCAGCACAATCAAATATGGTAAGTTTTCCATAAAACAACAATGTATCTCTCAATGGAACCAGTGTATTCCTGCATTAACAAAAAAGTCTAAGAAAAAATATCCACTTGTTATGAATTTTTTACTGCTCAACAGAATTCAATTTAAAAATATATTGTTGGAGTGTATTTCTTTATAATTTCTCTCTGTACTATAGTTGTCTTGTGGTTTGATTTTTATTTTATTTATTATTTACCAATCTTATATTTATTTATTATTGTGTTATTAATGTTACATTTTATGTTATTATTATATCTAATTATCATCTATGATTTGTACATACAATTTATATTGTATTATAATATTCTTAATATTATTGGTACTTTATTGTTATTATTTTGTATTATTACTATTATTATTACATATATCATTATTATTTGTTTAACAATCTTTTCTTCTTTTCTTTATTATTTATATACAGATATTAAGTTTTTCCTTTTTTTTGTTTTTTTTTTTTTTTTTTTTTGTTTACTTCAGTTTCCTTTTTTTTTTTTTCTTTCTATTTATTTATTTTTTCGTGAAATTTTTATGTTTTTTAGGTGTCACTCCATTGACTAGTTTGTAACTATATGAGTGACACCTAACCAATTTATATTAATTTACGATGAAATTTGTAAATTTTATTGATATGGTTGAATAAAAAAAAAAAAAAAAATTATTAAAGTACTTGTTTAAATATATAATACTTTCAACCACAAATATATTTTGTAGTTCTTTTATTATTTTAAAGTACTTGTGTGTACAGTAAACTCCCGGTTATTGAAACTGGCACTTATTTGAATTTCCCGCTTATTCAAAGAAATTTTAATTCCCCGCGAATTTTCCTTAACAAACCCATGCAAATACCCATCAGTTATTCGAACATGCAGTTATTCGAAATTTCGGTTATTTGAAACAATTTTTGACTCCCCTTGACCAAAACCCTGTCAGATATTTGAAGGTTTTGTTTGTTTGAAAATACCATTCCATTTCAAAACATAACATTACTAAACGTTATCAAAACATTATAAACGAAATAATCTCATTAAAATGTAATTAAAAAATCAAAGACATTGCAAAGTAGTGCGGTAGAAGTTTCAACATGGCATCTAAACAAAAGAAAACAGTTCTGACAATCAAAGAAAAATATCTTGCTCTTAAGGATTAAGAAAAAGGACTAACTAAAAAAAATTTTGCAAAAAAGTTCAGTGATCCTCAAAACACTTTAACTTACTGGATTACGCATAAAAAAGACATAATTAGCAAGTATGAGTCAGGTCAATTTGGAGCAAAGAGACAAAAGTTAAGTTTGGGAAAGCATGATTCCGTTGATAAAGCTGTATATAAATGGTTTATAAGCGCACGTGAACGAAATGTACCGATTGGTGGACACATCATTAAAGAAAAAGCTTTAATAAAAAAGCAAAACACTGCAGATTTTAAGGCTTCAGAAGGGTGGCTTGATCGGTGGAAAAATAGACATAATGTTGTTTTTCGAACTATTTCTGGCAAGGAAAGGTCATGTACAACGGAAAAGACATCAAGTTGGGAGCAAACCCATTTGCCCACTATCCTCTCAAGGTATGAATTAAGAGATGTTTACAACGCTGACGAGTTTGGTTTATTTTATCAACAACCACCAACAAAAAACTTTCATCTAAAAGGTTAACGATGTGCAGGAGGAAAATTAAGCAAAGTTCGTTTAACAGGCTTAGCAGCAGGAAATGGGGTAGGTGAAAAGCTGCCTATGCTTATAATTGGAAAAGCAGAAAAACCACGATGTTTTAAAGTGTCAAAAGCCTCCCTTGTTAATACAAGTCCCAAAATAATTCCTGGATGGATTCTAAAATCTTTACTGATTATGTAAGGAGAATTGAGGCAAAGTTTAATGCTGAGGGTAGAAAAGTTGCACTAATCATAGATAACTGCCCAGCTCATCCTAAAGTTGAAAATCTCGAAGCAATTAAATTAGTATTTTTATCACCAAACACAACCTCCGAAACGCAACCAATGGACCAGGGAGTCATTAGAGCATTGAAGACTTTTTATCGCACGAATGTTGTGAGGCGTCAGATAAAATACATCGATGCTGGTAAAACGACCCCAAATATCAACATTCTTGAAGCTATGAGCATGTTTGTCAAGTCATGGGATGCTGTATCGACTAATACTGTAATAAATTATTTTAGAAAAGCAGGCATCTCAAAGGAAATTCCGGTTGCAAGTATAAATGGTAAAGAAGATCCTTTTATATTGCTTGAAGAAAACATCAAAGATCTTATATCACGTGGCTTAGTAGAGAAAGATTTTGCTGTTGAAGATTACATAAACATAGATTTTGATATTTGCACAAGCGAAGCAACCGCTATTACAGATCAAGAAATTCTGGATTCCATTTTAATCAACGATTGTGCTGAGGTAGATGAGGAGATAGACAAAGATTCAAACAATTTGCCTCCCGTAAAGCCAAAATTATCAGAGGTTGCACGTGCAATAGAGTTAATTGAATGTTGGTCTTTTTTTGAAAATAACGGTGTCAAAATCGGACAATCGCTAAACCTAGTATCAAAGATGTTTGATAAACATTCATTAGAGGCAAAAAAGCAATCGAAAATAACCGATTTTTTTCGAAAAATTGTAACGATTTTATTTCTTTATTTTAGATTGTTTTTTTAAGAAGGTAAAGACTTGAACAGCATCTTACTCCAAAGTTTTTCTTCTTTTTTACTTTCTACTACTGTTCAAATTTAATAGTAACTTGCAATAGGTCACTTTAAAGAAGATTTTCAGTTATTCGAACTTTTGGTTATTTGAAGTAAATTCTTGTTCCCCTTAGAGGTTTGAATAACCGGGAGTTTACTCTATTTTAAATTATATGGACAAAATTATTGTCATTAACAAAATAACTTTCATAAATAAGTGAATAAGTTACAATAAAAATAAAATAATGTCAAACCTAAATCCTTTTTGTTTTACCATGTATTCTACAAGGCCTTCTTCATCTGGCTCCTTCCATTTTAACTAAAATAAAAAAAGGTTGATTCAATAATCTTCGTTCATTGTTTACAAAAATTGAGTTTAATAACAAAACATTAACAGCAAGATTATCAACAAAAATACGGCAAGTTATCAATAAAAATTACACTTAACATAATAATTAAATATATTAAAATATACAATTGATTTTTTCCAATTTTTGATTTGATTATCATCCTAATTGTAAACACACAACTTTATTATCATACCTGAACCTGATCAGCAGGTGTGACTTCAGGTTCTAAAAACAATAAACGAGAATCCTAAAATAAAAAAAAAAATATCTAAAACAAAAAAGATGAGCTAAAAACATAATATAAAAACATAAACTAGAAATATATATATATATATATATATATATATATATATATATATATATATATATATATATATATATATTATAAATATATATATATATATATATATATATATATATATATATATATATATATATATATATATATATATATATATATATATACTCATATAGTGTCGCTTTAAGAGCATTTTAATGTAAAAAAAGTCTCTTACGACTACAATTTTAATTACCTCGTCTCTTAAGCTGTTTTTGATTGTCATCGAAATGTCAAAGCAATTAATTTTTGCCGAAGTACATTAAATTTAATTGTTTTTTAAAAAATTTTTAAAAAACCGCAATTATAACGACTAGAAAGTTTTTTTTAATTAGTGGTGTTTTTGTTATTGATTTAAAAAAAAACATTTTTTAAACATGCGTAAATGTTGCTACATCGACTATCTTATAGCCTGACTCGCAACAGAGTGCTGCTACATCGACTGACAAATAGCCTGACTCGCAACAGAGTGCTGCTACATCGACTGACAAATAGCCTGACTCGCAACGGAGTGCTGCTACATCGACTGACAAATAGCCTGACTCGCAAGGGAATGCTGCTACATCGACTGACAAATAGCCTGACTCGCAAGGGAGTGCTGCTACAACGACTGACAAATAGCCTGACTCGCAAGAGAGTGCTGCTACATCGACTGAGGGTTTGGTTTGGCCAGGCAGTCTATCAATTAAAAAAAAAATTTAATTTTCAAAACTTTTTCTGGTCTGGTTTATTAACGCGCTCTTTAAAACTACAGTTTATGGGAAATATTTTTTGATGCTACGCAAGAGACATGCAAGACTATATATATATATATATATATATATATATATATATATATATATATATATATATATATATATATATATATATATATATATTCTTGTATGGTAGTCAGAAAGAGTTTCCCATAAACTGTAGTTTTAAACAGCGCGTTAATAAACCAGACCAGAAAAAGTTTAAAAAACTTAAATTTTTTTTTTTTAAATGATAGACTGCCTGCCCAAACCAAACCCTCAGTTGATGTAGCAGCACTCCGTTGCAAGTCAGGCTATAAGATAGTCGATGTAGAAACACTCCCTTGTAGCAGCAGGCTATAAGATAGTCGATGTAGCAACATTTACGCATGTTTTAGAAATGTTTTTAAAATTTTTTTTTAAAAACAATAAAATTTAATGTACTTCCGCATTAATTTAATTGCTTTGACATTTCGACAACAATCAAAAACAGCTTAAGAGACAAGGTAATTAAAATTGTAGTTGAAAGAGACTTTTTTTATATTAAAAGACTCTTTCGACTACACTATAAGGATATATATATATATATATATATATATATATATATATATATATTATATATATATATATATATATATATATAGAGAGAGAGAGAGAGAGAGAGAGAGAGAGAGAGAAAGAGAGATTGATTGAGAAGCAAAAATTATTAAACAGATGGAAAAAAAAAAAAATTTAAATAAGTAAAAAAAAAATTTAAAAAAGCAACATATAGAACAACAGCAACATATAGAACAATAATTTCAAAAATATAGAATTTCACTACTTTTTTCATGAAATAACTGGAAATACTTGTTTAACTCTATTTAGTATTAAAAATTTTATATCAATTCATACAACTTCATACCAAATAATTGTTCTTATTTAAATGTGTTATAGTAAAATCAGAAGTGTGCAAAGGTCAACATGATACAATTAAAACTTTAAATTGAAAAAAAAAATAATAAATAAAAAATAAATTTAAGCTTAAAAAATAAATTTTAAGCTGTAACATTTAATTAAAAAACTTCTATATGACAATAACTTATTGTAATCGATGCACACGCAAATAAAATCACAAAAAACCTTTAATATTTTATAAAGTTTTAAATTCATAATTCAAAATCATAAAACATAGTATATAAATGTATAGCCATTATGTTTATTTTTCTGTCATTTTATTTCAAAATTATGTAAAAAACTTGATAAAGTTAGAATAAGAGTCAAACGCTATGATAAAGTTGTTTGGAAATTGCTTCTTTTTAGAAACTCTGAAAATAAAGCCAAAATAACTGGTAAAACGATCTAAAATTGTTTACATGAAAATGGGTTTAAAAGCTACACAACACGTAAAAAACCATTTTTGACGCAGCAACATAAGAAAAAACAATTATTATTTGCTAAAACTCCTGTTAATTAGCCAATTTTTTTTTTGAAGAAAATACTGTGGTCAGATAAATCCAAATTTTATTTCGTACATTCTGATGGTAAACAAAACGTTCGGAGAAAAACTGGTGAAGCTTAGCAAGTCGCATGCAAGGAACCATAAAATATTCATCAGCGTGCAAATTGAGATTAGATAGAATATTTATATTTCAACATGAAAATTATCCAAAACATAAGTTGAAAAAAACAACAGAATTTTTACAAATCAAATCCATAAATGTTCTTGTATGACTAGCATAAATGTAATACGAAATACAAGCTACTAGCAAGACGTGTTGTTTTTAAGAAAGAGAAAAAAAAAAAATAATAATAATACTTAAAATATGTTTTTTTATTAATAAAGTGATTGAAAAATAGATTTCATTTACATTAAAAATATGGCGCCAAGATCACTCAGTGAGATATTCTCATATTTAAAACCCGACATTAGAACATTGAAGAAACTTGTTCTCACCCAAGACATATTTGATACCGAGCAATTTGATGAAATGAAGATAACTTTAGACTATGAAAATCCTGTTGATAAAATCTCTGTAAAAAATACAAAATCTATTTGTTCTCCATGTCGTTATGTGAAAAACAATTACACAAAGAAATAGGGAAAGAAATCATACCAACAAAAAATGATGAAACTCTGCCTAGTAATAAATTTCTTGTTTCTGCATTAAAAAATTGGTTATTGTTTCAAAAGAAATTCAAATGGAAAACATAGAAATAAAAGAAGAACTCAGTTTTCAGAGAGAAAATGCTTCTTTAAATCAATCTTATTGAAGACCTTAAAATAAAAAATGAAACTTTGGAATTAAATCGAAGTATATTCATATCGAATCAAGTTCCAAATATAAATTTCAATTATCATGCACAGAGTAAAAAGAATTTTTCAGAGGCTGAACCTACAAAAAACATCATTAAACAAAGGTAAACCATGTTTCAACGTTTGAGGTGGTAAACCATGCTCTAACGTTGAAACAAAAAATCAAGTTTTAAATATAAATTAAATATATATATATAAAATAAAAAAGAGAAAAAAACTTACTTCATACATCCAATTTTCAGGTATAGTATATTTCTAAATTTAAATGAATATATATATATATATATATATATATATATATATATATATATATATATATATATATATATATATATATATATATATATATATATATATATAACTATATATAAATTAGTAGAAAATCACTTATCAAACTTTTTTTCATTTTACATTGTGTTTCATCAATTAGGACTCATCAGAAATCTTAATTGATGAAACACAGTGTAAAATGAAAAAGGTTTGATAAGTGATTTGCTACTAATTTATTATTGCTCTGTTTATTATTGCTTAAGTTCTTTATATTGTTTAAATCAAATACTTCATTGATGCATATTTTATTTAAACAAATTTTTCTACATGTTTCCACATCTTTTAGTGTGTCAGTTTTAAATTTTGGGCACATTTCTTATATTTTAAGATCACATACATTATTTGTTTTATTCAGATTTAAATCTAATTTAAAATATAAAAAAGTAAACATTCTCTCTGAATGTTTACCTTTTTATATTTCAAATTAGATTTAAATCTGAATAAGGCCATTAAAGATTGGAAATTTTTTATTAAAGCCATTGACATTGACCACATGACATGTTCTGGATCACAAATTTAGCAAACAATTTGAATTAGTAACTTTTTTTAAAGATCTAGGTTGCATATGAGAAAAATGAGCAAAGGGCAACAATGTGTGCAATGAAATGGGTTTAAACCATAACAAATGTTGGTGGTCCTTGACCTACTAGAGATATTTGGCTTTTTAATTATTCAGCTGTTACTACTTTCTTGGCCCCCAAAAAAAACTAAACCTGATTGAATAAGATAGCAATTTACTGTTAAAAATCTTGATACTACTTTGCTCTAAGTTGCTTTAAAGTTTTTTTTTCTTTACTTGTCGTAAAGGTATGCATTGTTTAATGCTGACTTTAATTTCAAGGGCAGTACATATTTATGTTTTTAGATTATTAAAATATTCATAAGTTATTTTCAACATGATTAAAAAAAAAAACAAGTTAAAATTTTTTTAACAAACTAATTCAAATCTCAAATTTCTTTGAGTTTTCCAAAAGTAACTAATAATATAACATGAAACATGTTTTTTTGTATCTGTTTTAAAAACCTAAGCAAACTCGCTTTTAAGAAAACATTGTTAATGAGAAATTAGTAAAAAAAAAAAAAATTAGTACAAACAATCCACAAAAATTCAAAAACAAAATAAAAGATTTGTTTAAAATTGAGAACTGTTGCATTATGCTGCTTAAAAGGATTTTTAGATTAACACAGTTTTTAGCAAAACCAAAACAGCATAAGTTTAAAAATTGGTAGGGTATTTAGAAATAGATAAGTAGATCTTGCTTTTTCAAATGTTCAGATTTTCTTTCCCCAAGAACTTCATTCCACCTTCTTTCAAAAGAAAGCATTATGTATAGGTAACTTACTCTATGTACACTAATACAATATATCCATTTAACCCCACACTACCCAATTGTGCAACAATTTAAAACAGGGCCTGCACTGTAATAGTAATCAACATACATCTTTTGATTGTAAATGCTTTATGATGCCTTCAATATTTCGATGCTCTTTTATAAGCTTCATTGCTGTAACAGGACCAACACCTAAAAAATTTTAATAAATTTTAATAACAAAAGAATAATCTGCATAACTACAAAATTGAATAAAATTCTAAATTATAATTATATCATAACATTTTTGTTTTTTAAATCAAAAATAACGAAGACTAAAGATCTTTTTTATGTTTGACACATTTATGAACAAAAGAAATATGACAATATGATATTTTATGTTTGACACATTTATGAACAAAAGAAATATGACAATATGATATTTTATGTTTGACACATTTATGAACAAAAGAAATATGACAATATGATATTTTATGTTTGACACATTTATGAACAAAAGAAATATGACAATATGATATTTTATGTTTGACACATTTATGAACAAAAGAAATTTTTTATACATTTTTGACTTTTATATATAAAATAATACAAATTGCAATAAATATAAAATATTTATTGCAAATTTAATTTTTGTTTTAAAACTTGCTTTTTTCATTAAACTTATAAATAAGAAAGATTTTAATTTAAAAAACATGTTTGAAAAATAACTTTGCTAGACAAAATTTGTGTTTGTGACAATTTCTTGTTTTGTCAAAAAAAAAATTTAGTTTCAGCCATTTTAAACTACTAATTTACAAAGATCACTACTATTCAATTCACCATGACAACTACTAACTATTATAACCTTTGAACAAAATAAATTATTCATTGAAATTTATGTTGTATTTTTGAAAAGTAAACTCCTAATATCTCAAGTAGCAAAGCTTGTACATGAAACATTATGACAAATAATTAACTAAAATTTTTATGACTTTAAAAATAACAAAAGATAAGCAATTTTTTTTAGAATAAGCATACTTTTGAAAAAAATATCTAATTTTTTTCATCAGCATCAGGTCAACACAAAATTTCAACACAAAGGTTTCACCATAATAACATAGAAAAGCACTTTAAGATCAGCAGTTAGGTATGCATTGTTTAATGCTGACTTTAATTTCAAAGGCAGTACATATTTATGTTTTTAGATGTTATTAAAATATTCATAAGTTATTTCCAACATGATTAAAAAAAAACAAAACAATATTTGTAAATACTTTATTGAAACCTTTTATTGATGCACAATAATCACAACCAAGCAAAATGCATAAATCAACAAACTAAAAAAAACAACCATGAATCAATAAACTAAAAAAAAACGAATAAATCAACCAAATTAAAAAAAAAAAATGCAAATCAACTAAAAAAAAATTATAAAACTAATTTAAACAGATTAAAATAATTATAAATAAATGAACATATTTTGAATAAAATTATACACATATTAACAGAAATCATTTTTTTGCTGCATACATTTTTTATTAGAACAAAGTATTTTTAATAAAAAAAATAGTATTTTTAGTTGGTATTATGAAACATGCTAGCTTGTTAACACTCCAAAACAAACTGGTCAAAAAGCTTTGATAACTATAAAATTTTTAAATATATTTTCAAGTTAAATTTTTTGATAATATTGCAGTTTATTTATATTTCTTTAGTAAAGTTGAGAAGTCCACTTTTTTGTGTTTACCCATTTTTTAAGAAGTTGCCAAAACACTTTGAAATTTTCCCAGAAGTTTTAGGGTGAGAATGACTAAGTTAAAACCTCAAAAAAATAACACATTTAATGTTTACTTAATATTCAAAATATTAATATTTAATATTTTATTTTATTATACATATTTTATATTCACTTAATATTCATTTAGTATTCAAAAAATTCACATTTAATAGAACCTGTTTTGAAGAGATAATTTGGGGCAATAAAATGTGTTATAATAAATGGCTTATAACTAAATGTAGAAGCCTAAATACTTTATTAGTTCCTGAGTAGTTTAGGAAAGAGAATGGTTCCTTTATTGCCTTTGGTCTCATTAATTTGACGCATGAATGCAATGAATTTGATATTTTTCTCACTTTACTGTTTATTATGATAACTTTTGAATCAGATAAAATCAGTTTAATCAGATTATAACTATAAAACTTATATACACAACTTAAAGTTATTATATATTATAATAACTTTAAGTTGTGTACAACAAGACTCTCTTCGTAATTTACACTAGTAATTTGTCTGATAACTATGTAAATATATTAAATATGTTTGGCAATGATAAAAAAGTAGATTCTATAACAAGTATTAAACTTTTGCAAAGTGACCTAAAGAAAGCTGTCTACTGGTCCAGTGAATGGTTACTCAAGCTTGCTCTTCGGTAAAAAAACAATTCCAAAAAAATCTTTTTAATGCAATTATATAAAGAGTTTATTTTCAAAACGTAGTATGAGCAATTTTATTTCTATGCGCCTACCTATTTAAAAATGTTTAATTGTTAAAAAACAACTTAAAATATGATTGTTTGAAATGCAAACTATGGGTTCATAATTTATGTGCTGGGGTTGAAAAAAGAGAAAAAAAATATATATGCAATGTTTAAAATATACCTGAATTATCTGTTTGATTACGTATCATATAAACAGAAGAATAAAAAAATAAAATTTTTTAATTTTGTTGCTTAATCTAATCCTTAAGTACAATTTAGGCTACACGTGATATGATAGGCTATACGTGATATGATAGGCTATACATGATATGATAGGCTACACGTGATATGATAAGCTATAGGTGATATGATAGGCTATACGTGATATGACTTAGGAAAATGATTTCTTTAGTTGTACCAATGTAAGTATTTTAAGATTTTGTTTATTTTACATGAAAGCATATAGATTTTTTATTTTCGTTAATAATAAATAACTACAATATTAGGTTTTATTCCTTTCGTAAAAGAGCATGACTTGAGCAACCTTAAAAATTGGGTAAAGTTACTTACCTGTAAGTAACTTTACCCAATTGTTGCTGAAAAATCTAAATAGTGTGGTATTTAGATTTAATTTATAACTAATGTGCAAGTAAAGCAAATAAAATTTAAGGTATGTTAAAAAATTTGAATTTGATATATTTATTTGAATTTGCTATATATATTTTAAGAATTAAGTTTACTTTAGTTGTAAGGCAGATTTAAGTTTGATTCATATGTTTAAGATATTCAATAGAATTAAAAAAGTGCATTTAACCAATAAAGGTATAACAAAAGGCTATTATTTAGTAAGAGATCATTAAAGAAAATAACAAGCTTTTTCCTTGACATTTTTAAATTATCATGAAACAACAAGTTTTTGTCATTATTTTACATACATTATTTTTTTTAATAATCACAAAATAACAAGCTTTTGTCGAGACATAAATCAGGAAAGTTTTTGCCAAGATATTTTATTAACAAACAGAATATCATATTATTTTATTATCTACTGATACTGTTAATCATAGGTCATCCAGGTCATATTTTATTTTATTATCTACTGATACTGTTAATCATAGGTCATCCAGGTCATATTTTAAAAATCATGAAAATTGTTTGGGTAAAATATCCAGAAAAAAATCAGGAATAAATTTTCCTCTTAAATTTGCTTTTAGCTCATAATTTTTGTATGAGTGATGAGTGAAAAAGCTTAACAAACAAATATATTACAAAAATATATTCCAAGTTCAATCACATCCCTGGTAGTAACATATTTAACTTGTTTCTTCATGCAGCTGCCTTGTTCATCAAAGTTTATGTTTAGGAATTTGAGTGAGGGTTAAAGCCACAAATGAAAAAGAAAAAAGTAGCCTCCTAAACTGTAGCAGCACCCCATTGGCCTTGTGAAGATGAACGGCATAAAAAATATGTATTACAACTAACCTAAAAAGTGTGTTGTATTTGTGTGAATGGCAATTAAATAAACACAAATGAATAAAATTAATGAATGATTATTATATATTTATATTTAGTAAAAAATCAATCACAAACTAATAAAACCTGCTCTTTAGTGAGCTCTAATTCTTCCAAAACTTTGCTATAATGAAACTCTTGGATTGGCATCTTTCTGAAGAAATAAAAAAAAAAATAATAATAAAGAAAATTAAAAAAATTAAAATTTCGAATTGTATTTAAAAAGCATTTACAATAATGTAATGAATTTTATGGTTTAGCCATTTAATGACAGGGCCTAAAAAAGAGATGTGTTGCAAATAACAGGTGTACCATAGGGTGTGATAGGGTGTGAAAACACTTATAATGCTATAACACTTTACTTTGATTATCATGATTAAAATAACATAAATTAGACAACCAAAAAAATTTAGGGTCAAAACTATCAAAATAATTAAAAAAAAAATTCAACCTGGCTTCACTAAATGTCAGATGTCTAAGTAAAATATTTGCACCAAATGTTAAAGAATCCATATCTTCTGATCCCATTGCATATACCTTAATATAAAAAAATTGTCAAAACTTGTGTAACTTCATATATTAAAATTTATTTCAAAATAAAATGTCTGTAAGTGAAATAAGTCATACAGATTTTTAACATGCATAAAATTTGATTACAAAAGAAGAAAAACTCAAGAATGTTCTATTTATGAGTGAAGAATATAATTGTGAAAAAACTTGAACAAGCATTTTAGCATTAAAAGCTCTTTGTTGATAAAATTGTTAACTTCAAACTTCTTTATAATAATTGTGAGTTGGTAGAACAGTAGTGGTGTAGTAATGTAAGGTTTTTGTAAGTGAGAAGTTTCGAATTCCCTGGTCACACTGAAATTAATATTTTACCTGCTTTTATACTTTAGCTTAATACTTCAAATAACACTGATAAGATAATTTTAAATACATTTTGTTTTAAAAAAATTTTATAATTATTACACCAACACAAAAAATTGTTCCAACACTACTGTTAAAACATATAACAGAGATAAAATTAAAATGCAGAACTAAAGACCATGCCTTGTCACCTACAAAAAGGGAATCACTATAAACATGACATTTATATATTTGCTTTTTCTCATCTGTGACATAAGTTAATAGCCATGTCATCAGTGTCAGTTTAAAAAAAAAATTTGAAATTTTTGTCAAACTTTTTTGTTAAATAAAGGTGAAATCTTATAAAAAATGATATAAATGTTGTCAAAAATTACAAAAAAGCAACAAAAATAAAAAACCCATTACTTTATAAATAAATGATGATTAGTTTATTTTGCAACTATTAAATTTAACTTGGTAACTAGTTGAGTACACATTAAATTTATTAAATGTTTTTGTGGCCAGCATAATTTGTGGATTCTGTTTTTCATTATCATATATCCTACAAAAATTTCATCAAACCAAATTTTATATTTTTAAGAACTAGCCATTTTTTCAAATTTTGTATTTTAAAAAACTACCCAGAATGTGTAACAACACTAATAATCAGGTGCAACCATTTAAACAATTGCAAGCATTGAGACATTATATCTATGATGTACCAAATACAAAAAAATTTCAACCTTCTTTTGATGCCTGCGTTAGGAAGCTCATCAGTTGCATAAAATACTTTTCAATATTTAATTTCATCCATCTTTCAAAAAGATTAATCTTTCTACTCTGGGTTTTCTTGCTAAGTTAACAGCTATAGATAAAATACCATTTTCAACTTTGGCGAATAGTAAATAAATTAAAAAGATATGGAAAACTCAAAGTTTAAAAATGCCATTAACATTCTAAGCATCCAATGAACATTGGGGTTGTCCATAAATTACAACGCTCATCATAATATCATAACATTTCTCATCATCATAATATCATAACATTTCTTGTACAAGTTGTCACCAAACTACTAACCTCTCCCCTCTCCCTCTCCTCTCTCCCCTAGTGGAGAGAGGAGAGGGAGAGGGGAGAGGTTAGTAGTTTGGTGACAACTTGTACAAGAAATGTTATGATATTATGATGATGAGAATTACGATATTATGATGAGGAAGTAGGTCAAAAATGGGCAAGATTGTGTGATATAATTTTTGGAGGACCCCATTGTAATATAAAATAATTTTAGTGAAATTTAATTTTATAAAAACAGTTCTGTTAAATAACGCTAACAAAGCTTAGAAAACTAACAGCCTAAATGTTAAGAATATTTATGATGAATAGATTCATTAATTTTTTATTCTATATAAAAATCTAGTCATAAATATTTTTTTGAATTTTGTATTTACCTTATTTACTTTGAACTCCAAAAATTTACAAAAGAAATCTTATATAAAATATTACTCAGTCAGGGGCTATTCAAGAACAATAATTTGGGTGGTAAAGAAATTTGCCAAAAACTTTGCCATATTTAGCTTCTTTTTTTTTCAATGTAATATTGAAGACCTATGGTCTCAACCTTTTTTTCAATCTTACTTTTAATTGCTTATAAAACCAAGGCAATTATTCTGTATTTTAACAAACTATTTTATAAATTTTATATATTTGAAAATATTTTTGTATTAAAAATTTTTATAAATAAAATTATTAACCTTTCCACCTTTAACAAGCTCAGCACACTGGGCCTCTGCTTCACATGGAGCCTAAAAATAAACTAACTTATTTATATAGCTAAAAAATATGAATGGCAGAAGTAAACTTAACTCTACAATGATCATCAAACTTCATAATAAGTGAAATTAAATGCTCAAACATTTTGTTACATCAATGTAAGGAACACCCATAAGATCCAACAACTCTTTACATTCTTTGTTATGCTGAGGCGTAACTTTAACCTAAAAAATAAAATTGATTCAACTAAAAAAAAAATAGATGCATTAAATCATAATAAAAAATGAGATCTAATAATCTATACTCATGAATATGGAAAAATATCCCTATTATCAACATCCTTAATAGAAAAAATGTGTAAAAAAAAATTAACACTTATGATAAGATATAAATTTGAATATGCCAGGTATTGAACAAGAACTTTTAGAAAACCTAAAAAAACTATAAGTATTCTAACTTTTATAATACTTACACTTTTAGGACACTTAACCTAGTTAAGAAATACAAAATAGAATTTATTGTTTAATTTATCAATGATGCAAGAACCTTGTTAATTTATGTTTTTATTTGTCAAATTGAAAAATTTTACTTATGTTTATCTTTTACAAATATATTTTGTAATTATTTATAATTTAAATCTATTATAAAACAAATGTGATATTATTTCTACTTATATAAGAACAAAGCTTAAATTTAGAAATCAGAGCCCATCATAGTATAAAGTAAGAATATTTAAGACTTTCAAACACAATAAACAACAATCACTAACCTAGTAATGAGAGTATAAAACTGTGCTCGTCTTAAGAAATTGTATTAAATATATTGTATTAAATAGAAAGTTTTGAAGATAGGAAAGTTTAGAAAGTTACTGCTGATTGGAAATAACAATAAAATTTTTACTAGTTTCTAGAATAAGACAACTAAAACTTGATAAAAGTTTAAATACTGATTTTAAATTTTATTACCTAAAAGTAATAATTAACAAAATTAATACAAGAAAATTGTTTACTGTTATTTAAAAAAAAAGATCGATAAAAAATACTGGTTAAAAATTATCTGATTACTTTTTTTTGTTGGGAAGTCATAACAGCATTTTCATCAAACAGGGAGAGGAGGGTCTAGCATTTTTTTTCTAGATACTACTTCATATTATTCACAAAAAATTGCTGTACATATAAAAGACTAATTAAAACGAATTTCACCATTTTGCAATTTTTGCAAAATGGTGAAATGATTGCAAGATCACTTGTTGTTGACAAGACATTTTAATTTTACAGAAAATAACACATTTGACAATTTTCTTTATCATAAACACTGTAGTACATTGTATAAACATACTCGAATATTCACAAAAATCTTTACTGAAGATTATCACGACAGTAATTTATAAAAAGAATGGCTCTAAAGATCAATGTGAACATATGTTATAAACTTATAAAAATTAAAACCTTTTCCAAGTAACTTTTTTTTTTTTTTACAAAAGGTGCGTGAAAATTTATACCAAATTTTTTTTTTTTTTTTTTTTTTAATTACATACTTTTCTATTGCATATATTTTTACAAATATTTTTACTAGTTATATTTTTACAAATAATTTTTACTTACATATTTTTATATTTGTATTTTTATAAATATATTATACAAAATGATACAAATACTTTTAAAAAAAAACTTGAAAAATAAAATAAATTTAAAAAATTAAAAATTTTTAAAAAATACAACAAAAAACATAACTACAAAAAAGTATTACCAATCTTCTAGAAAATTTGTCAATATTTTCTTGATCACCTTCAAAAAAAAAAAAGACTCAAAAAATAATGTTAAAATATAAAAAGTTGTTTGCTATAATTATAGATATAGTGTTTGTTATTTTTTTTTTTGTGGGGTAAACAAACTTAAAATTTCTTAAGAACTGAGTAGAAATTTAGTTTTGTAAATTATTATTTATTCTGATTGTGTGCCTTACACAAATCAGAATAAATATTAATTTTATTATGTTTTGTGTAAGAAACAAATCAGAATAAAAATATTTTTTGCACTAGCTTCCATTTCATAATAACATTATTAAATGCAAGATAAGAGTTTTAAAAACTCTTATGATGCATTTAATGTTGTTGAGTTTTAAAACTACTTGGGAAACTTATTCTTGTAAATTTTCTTTTGTTAATTTAGAGTTTAATAATAACATATTTATTTTATTTTAAATAGGTGTTTTGTTTATAATGCATAAAGAATAACAATTTTGTAAGCTTTCAATTTTTTTGAAAGTTAAAGTTTAAAAATAGAAGTTGGTGCTGGTGCCAAATCTGGAGATAAGTGACTGATTAGAGAGCTTGATTTTTACTAGAGCCAGGAATGGGCTTTATAAAATAACACCAAGGTCAGGTTTAGGCTAATCTAGTTTTGATGGATCATTATTTTGGAGTTTATTAAGAGGAGTTAATAAAAGCTTGCAGTAGATTGAGGGTTAATTATTTTCAAAAACTAAAGCTTTCAGTAAGTAAATGACCTCAACTTTAGGGAGACAGTAATCTTTTTTTATAATTTATATATATAATTAAATATAATCTTTTTTATATCTTTAAGACAAAAGGGCCTTAGAGAGGTAATAAACAGCCTCCTACAGTCAAGCAAGTAATAAGTCTCATTTTTAGCCAGGGCCCCGGCTAATAATGAGACTTTTTGCAAAACCGTCCCTAGCAAAATTATATGATTTAGCAGGGGTTGATAGCCAGGGCTAGAAAAAAATTATAATTTACATATTATAATTTTATGCTTACATTTACTATTTATTAAATACTGGCATACATTTATATCTTTTTAAACTTTAATTTACTTCCAACAAGATCGCAAGCAACCATTATTAAGTTATGAGTTACTTTAAAATAAAGTTAAAAAGGAAAAACTGAGGACTTAAACAGATTTAAATTGTATAAAAGAAAACATTAAGATGGGAGTTATAAGGTTTTTTTATGTTCAAGGAAAAAAAATGGATTAATAAAAGATTTTATGGCATGAAGAGACAGATACAGTAAAAGGATGCAACCTGTTGAATAAAAAGCCAAGCAACAATGAGTTTTGGTTTATTTTTATTACCTAAAAGTAATTAAAGTACCTAAAAATAAATTAAAATAAATAAAATAAATAAAAATAAAAATAATTAAAGTACCTAAAAATAAAATTAACAATATTAATACAAGAAAAACTGTTTTGATAGAGATGATACTTCATTTGAACATTGACCATGATTGTATTTGTAGAAAAAAGAAAGAGATGCAACCTTACAACAATGGGAGAGTGGCTCAAGCTTGGCAGATAAAGCAGGTCTAGTTACATTTAAAATGTGCTTTTAGACTTTGTCTGAGAGTAAGAGGGTTGTTATTCGTTAATATAGGAATGCCAACAATATTCTAATACTTTTTGCAGTAAATAAATGAATTTTGTTTTCTAACAAAAATTGTGGATTTTGAGTCCAGAATTTAAATCCATAAGCCACTGCATGCCATAGGCTGTTACAGAAGAGAGATCAGATTTAAAATTGGCTGCTTGTTCTAAGCAATTAAAAAGGGAATTTTTTTTTTTAAGACAAAAGTATAAAGTTAAGTTGTCAGTTGCAAATAGAATGAGATTTCATGAAAATTGTTATTGTAGATAATAAACAATATAGGAGCAAAGATAGAACCTTGTGGAACCCTCAAAGTTACTTGAAATAAAGAAGCGGGTAGGCCTTCAAAAATAACTTTTACTACTGCAGTTTGTTTTTTTATTTTTTTATTTAATTCCTCAAGGCCGAGAAGGCCAGTACAGACGAGGAGGCTACTTATTTGTGGTTATCACCCTCTCTTAACTCTATAACTCTGAAACATGAACCTTGATGAACAAGGCCACTGCACAGAGAAACGAGTTGAGCGCGGTACTACCAGGGATGTGGTAGGGATCAAACTCGGAACCACTCGTTTATGAAGCGAGCGCTCTATCACTACACCACTACTGCAGTTAGAAAGAAACAGTTTCATAACCTCAAAACCTTTATATAAAGAAACTACTAACAGAGTGAAGACTAATCACAGAATAGTTAAAGAGGTCTAAGTGTTTTCTAGAGTTTTGAAAAATTGGAACCACTTGTTTAGCACTTTTTAAAAATTTAAAAATTGAAGAGAGTTCTGGAGAACACTTTTTTAAGACTATGATGGAAATCTATTCTGGAGCACAAACTGGAGAAGTGTTTAATTGAGCATTAACTTTAGCATTGAAAGCCAGAGTGATTCGGATGTTTAACAATGGGTTAATCTATTTAACTGTCAGGAATAGTATGGCCATTATTATATTCAAAAGTTAAATTAGAGTACTTTTTAGAACCTAACATGTGAGATACAATACAAGATTTAATAAACTGAGAAATGACAGAACTTATCATCAGACAGGACTTTTTTACATTGGCTTCTTGTAATAATAAAAGGGCATTTGTTTGTAAGAGAGATGTTCTTGTAAAAAAGATGAAAAAAATGATTAATGTTTAATAAAGTAATTGCTCAAGATGGTGAAAAATGTGGAGTAGAATGAAGCTCGACTTAAAATTGAAGAGAAGTAATAAAGGCTTCGAAAGTTTTATTTTCAGAAGGAATAAAAACTTCCAAGATGCAGTTTATGCATACATGTTATGGATATAAACATATATGTCTGCTATTTATTTAGATGCTGGCATACAATACCCTTTCATTGTTATATAAACTTGATTATTTTTATGGTGTAGTATTTGCCGAATAAGAAGATAATCAGATGGATGTATGGTGTGACTCTAGCAAAACAAGGAAAGAAGTATGGTGTATGGTGTGACTCTAGCAAAACAAGAAAAGAAGGCATAATCTAACAGATTTAAAAAAACATTGTATCAAACAACATAAGTTTAAATATAGTATTTTAGGTATCAGCATGTACAGAGGTAGCAGCTTTAGTAGAAAATGGTAGTGGTAAAATTAAGAAAACTTTAAGAGGGCGCCTTACACATTGCATGAATGAGCTTTAGTTAAGAAAAAAAAAACCTCTAGATTGTTTATATTGGAGAAACAGCATAAAAGAGGAAGGCTAAAGCCTGATGATGATGATAATAATAATCATCATTATGATGATGATGATCATCATGATCATCATGATGATAATGATCATCATCAGGCTTTAGCCTTCCTCTTTTATGCTGTTGATGATGATGACAATGCTGAATATAATGATAATGATTATGATGATCATGTTGATCATAATGATGTTTATATATGCCTACGTATACAAAATATAACATGAATTTTGAATTACAAAAATATACTTTAAGATGTATAAATGTTAATGCAGCCCCGCTCACAAACCCACAATCGGTCTAATACCAATAATGGTCACTTTTTAGTTATTTATATTCTTATATTATTATTTTCTCAATTGTTGTTATGTTTCTCCCTTTCTTATTGTTTTCTCAAACTTAAGACTCTCTCAAACACTCACCTCTAAAATACAAACCTTGACAAAGAAACGCTATAGTGCAGATAAGTTAAGCATAATACTAACAGAGATGCAGAATATATAAAATAGCTCTTACAAGATTTGAACTTAAATTTTACAAGTACATGAAAAATGTAGTTTCTATTTAACATCTGGTTTAAGAAACAACAGATTGTGTTGTATCTAATGAATTAGCTAATTGGATTTCAAAGTTTGCAGTAAAATATTATTTATATTCTTGAAGAAACCAAGAGTAGAGTATAACCTCCATTTGTAACACTTTTAAAGGTTTCCTCAGGCACATGCACACTGTAGACTTCATAAAAGTAATTTGAAGACTTATTTTTGGCTAAAGGCAGACATTTTACTATAACAATTTACATTTTTATTTAAATGAACACAAGTTCAAAAATAATAAAGTCACTATCCTTATCCCTATTCCACAAGTTAGGAAATAATAAAATCAGTATTCCTATTCCCTACAAATTAAGGTTAAATACAGATATATTTTAAAGAGCAACAGAGCCTCTTTGATTGCTGGGATATATTTTAAAGAGCAACAGATTCCCATTGAAAAAATTTGAATGCTGGTATATATCTGATGTTTTTTGAATTGAAAATCACAGAAAAAAAGCCTGCTTAGGTTGTAACTTGTGTGTGCTTCATAAAAACCCAAGGGAGCAGTGTTAGTAGTTACTTAATGGCATAGAAAACAAACGTTTGTAGACATCAGGAAAGACTCATCAATTTGCAATGCGATAAAGAAAATTAAGACTTCGACAAAAATAACAAAAAAAAAATAAAAAGTGCAAGAGTTCAAAATATTTTTAAAATTTAGATTTATTTTTAATATATTAGCAGTTTAATTTATTTTCAAGCAATTTTTTCATTTATAGCTGATTTAAAAAGCAAATAGTATATATATATATATATATATATATATATACATACAGGCTTGGTCAGGAAGGCGTGCGATCGTACGCCATTATATGACCACGCAAATAATACTTTATTTTGACGATTTGACAACGGTTTTTAAATTTGAAAAAGGTGCTGAAAATTTTTTTTTTTTTAATTACATCAAAAATAAATGATTTTGAAACTTTTATCTTTACTAACGATATTGTATTAGCTTTTAAATAAAGTAACAGTTACTGTGAACGTTTTAATTTAAAGTATAGATAAAAGTTGTATAAATTTTTATTTATATTATTTAAATATGTATAAAATTATATAATTAATAAATAAATATATAAGATTTTTTTTTTATTAATTTTATTTTTTAATTATTCAAATTT